GTTGCACAACTCTATGCTGCCTGGATAATCCAACACTCAACATGCTAAATATCACACAAGGGTTTTGTCTTTGTAATCAAGGACCTTGCTTTCATGTTTATTACTATTACTGTTCAGTTCATAAGTTATCCATCCATGAAACTAAAGCACAAAGCTAGACCTTGCCTCTTGACGTCTAAAATATCTCTGATCTAACAGATCAAAGGACAAACACGTCTCCCTGATTGATGAGGTCTAAGAAATCTAAGGTATCCCATAGCACTCCACAGATAGAATTAAATCACTTCATTGGCTTGATCTCAAGTAAAATTCAGATTGTAGTTTGATGAGATGTTAAACCATGTTACCTAGTCAACTGTGAATCCACCTTTAATCAAAGCTCCATCCACCAAGTCTATGAAACTCAATGCTAGAAACCAGCTTGTTCCCCAGGCATAATTTAGCCCTTTTAGGTGTCAGTCTGGCTCAGTTGACAGCACCCTCGCCTCTGAGTCAGAAGGTTGTGAGTTTAGCTTCAGGGCTTTCAACTCATAGTCAAAGCTAACGTTTCATTCAAACACTAGGGGAGCTCTGCATTGTCATGGATGTCATCCTTTGGATGAGAAGATAAATCGAGGTCACTGCACAACATGCATGTTGTTGCGATTTGACATTAACCTGGGTCGGAGATTGATAGGGCGGCATCTGTGATGGAATCTTATCATTCTTCAATCTCTCACCTTTTCAATGGCTACAAATCCACTCTATCAGCTCTGTATTCTGCTAATAAAATTCACTTGTAAGACCATAGTATGTCCGATGGAAATACACATCATTATATCTCCGCAAAACTGTTGGTAGCCTTAGGGTTAATTATTTATTTCTAAGGGCGGGATATTTTTCTTATCTGACATGTTTTGTGCTGTTATCTTTCATTATACGAGATAAGGTGCCATAATCCAATTATTCTCTCTGTCGTCCATCAGCTGTGTCCTCTGTCGTATTACAGCTATCTGTGTGCAAGTCTTACACTACATACTGATAAGACTCTACAATGTGCCAGCAGCGATAGTCGATAATGACTGAAACAAGACCGGGAGCAATATTGATTCTAATATTTTAATCACAATTATGTCAAAATAATATTTGTGTGACTAACAATTTTAGGGGAAATATCGACTGTTATTCAAGGTTAATATCAGTCTGGATAGATTCTTCACGAAGGTGACAGAGTAATACAGGGTGACCAAAAAATCGTGATACCGTTTATTTTAATAATAATGACTTTGTTTCTTCGTCATTTCTTTAAGACTCGTTGTAATGGTAGCACAACCTTTCGGTCACCCTGTATAAAGAGGGTCACCAAAGATGTGGGAGGGAAATTCCACTTAGGTCTAGATTTTGTTTCACCCGTAAAATACAATCAATCCATTTAACAATATATTCTGTGAAGCGCTTTGAGACAGCTCAATGACCTGATAAGACTCTATATCAAAAGCAAAGATTATTATGCTCTGTTTCATTCCAGAGCATGTCTAATGCGACAAGACAAGAATTTGTTGGCAAAAGAAGACCAAGGTCCATCTAGTTCGCCTTCCACCATCTTTGCAGTCCCTTGACATGTCGAGTCCCAAACTAGAGAGGAATTAACGACTGGAGCAGGTTATCAGGATTGGTGGTTGACACTGCGACAATGGGATTCATTTTAAAAAACAGCTCAATGCTGTAATGGGAGGATAGCAGGGCGGGTGTTTTGGAAGGATGAGATCAGATGGACTAAAGTGCCTTCTTCATCCAAACCAATCTTGTGAACCTACAAATAGCCAGCTTCGGAGGAATGAAGTTTAAGAAATTGCTAAATATTAAATAAGTAAATAATAATTTGGTCATTCAATCCAAGATATCAAATGCAAGGCTTATTAAATTCTGGAAATTCTAAAATACCGAGAAAATAGAGTGACTCCAGGTGGAGTTTTTAGCCTTTGACAGAGAATGATAGGGAACGATCAGTGCTAATGACCATAGTGCTAGAAATTAACCTTAATAAGAAGGTGTTGTAGGTCGGGAGGGTAAAGAAATAGGAGCAACCTAATGGAAAAACACCAAAGGGCTCCTTACTCTCAATGCCTCCCGCAAATTGAACCATTAAATAATATATATATAATATAGTCGATCATACCCCAGCCTGGGAGCGTACAAAACATCAGATGTATTTTTGTTGTCGGAAGGTCTCTCATATCTGAATAAATTATTCAAGTGGGTGTACAGACAGCAACTAAAAATTCTTCCCAACCTCCTTTATAGCAAATCTGATTCATTATCCAGCATTGATCCTGAATTTCCAGCCCTGCCTCTCATTGGCTTCGCAGAAATAGACACAGTGTCTTTTGTATCTGACACTGCGAAAAGGAGGCGAGGTGGAGAGAGATGGCATCTGTCACCAGAGGTTAATGGCAAAATCGTACAGCAGCAGCGATAACATTTATTTTAAGTCTTGTTAATATTTAAAGTACAAGTAAAAGGCACCTAGAGCTAGCATTTTATACCAAAGCCATGACAAGCTATTACAATGTACATTTACTGCCTGTACACCTCGCAATAACTCCAGTGTTAAACTTCCTTACTCAGTGATGGATTAAGAATATTAAATTTGTTCCTATTATATAAAATTTATACTTTTGTGATTTCTAGAGAATACTCAATGATAAGCCATTGGAGCACAGAATATATTGAGCTTGTGAAGGAGGCTTTATTTCCTACCGCAGCCCAACATGTAAATAATTTGCTTTATGTATTTGGCCGTTCATTCAAGAGATATTTATTACACTCAGCTCCAGCTAAAGAGGCCTTTCTATTCCATCCGATACTGTTTTTATCTGTTTAATTCAAAACGTTTTCAAAATAAAAATAGAATAATTAGTGGCGAAAGGCACTATATAAATGCAAGTTGTTCTGAAGCATAATCATTGAAGAACCATTTGTGTTTAGAAAGTTTGCTTTTGCTTGAATTGTGATTGAACTCCAACTTTAGATTATTTAATCATAATAATCCTTGCCTTTGATTCAGTTCCATCTCATAAGATGTACTGTAATGTGTAGTAACTGTCAATTTGTGGTAGAACGCCGCAGCCAATTTGGGCACAGAAACGTCTCACAAACAGCCATAAAGTGAACGACCCAATTTTATTTGGGAGATTGTTGGTCAGGACATCGGCAAGCTTGCACTTGATAATAAAAACACCTTATCACACCATTGAAACGTCTCCAAGTACTTCATAGGATTTACTGTAGAGTGTATTTATAAAGCAAACACGTATGTGCTTTGTAATCTCATCCAAATTCATCCCAACATTCAAATTAACTGCTCACCTCAGTATCGTTTATGGGGCTTTGTTGGTCAGTTATTTCCAATTTGCGTCAAACCTTATCTTCGGACAGATTTTTTAAGGGAGAGAGAATCAGCAGCGACAGACTGAGTACCGAATCTGACTTGTGATGTCCACGATAGTGTAACTGGGTAAACGAGGCATTGAGCAACACTGGCAGAGGCTTGATCTCCCCTGAAGCTCAATGGACTGTCCTCAGGAGTTGGGGGAGGACGGTTCAACGTACACGTTTTTCCCCATATAGTCAATTTTTTTTGCTTGTTTCTCTGAACTCCTGAAACCCTTCATGTCCATCCCTCCAACAGTGGGTGTGTTGTCAGCCATTCTGCCCATCTGCTCTCTGGAACTCCATCTCACAGTCCCTCCGACTCACTGACTCCTTCCCTCCCTCCCCATTCTCAAGACCCGTCTCAAGACTCACCTGTTTAATTGCGCTTTCCGCCTTTCCCCCTTTTTTTGGTCAGCCGGGTGACTGACACATGTGGAAACCCATCCCATGCTTAAGAGTATCCAAACCAAAGTGAGGTTTCCGTGCATCCCGCCTACGCATGGAAATCACAGAGATAGGTTGCTGGAATGGAATGCGCACTCTCCCTTGGAGGGATGCATCCTGCATACATAATTCCAGAAAGTATTCGGCAGGTTGGTGAGAACCTTTCCCTCTCCGGGCCTCTTCAGCTCCTCTCCCGCCCAAGCCCCAGTTCCCCAGCTGTGTGAACACTTTTGAGATGTTCCTCCCAAAGCTAAAAGCTCTGTCGAAATGTAAATTGTTTTCTTTTCTTTGTCTATTCCCCCTCCCCTGCAAGAGGATTGTGTGGCCGTCACCAGGCGAGATTGTGTAGACAAATATTGTGAGAAAGGGGATTGTCCTGGGAGCGGCCATGACTGTTCTGGCTCTTTGCCATCTGTCTATCTCTGTATAAGTTGGCTGTCAAATTCTCCTACACAGCATTCACTTCATTTCCAATTAACCTCATTCTGTAAATCGCTTCGAGTCATTGCTTGTAAATGAAAGGTGCTCAACGCATGTAAGCTGTATTTTTGTATCAGCCCTGCCTCATGTTCAGGATCTAACTATCAATAACTTTAACCCTTTGGATACTACAGACTCACACACTCAACATCTTATAATTAATAATAATAATCCTTGCAATTGATATAGCCCTTTATCACGTCATTGAGACATATCGAAGCTCTTCACAGAATATACAGTGAAGTGAATTGACTGTATACTTTGTGGGCGAAACGTGCATTTATGTAACTCTATGATAACGTCTTGGAGCACTTCACAATGATGGGGCCGGATGACGAGAGGGGGAAGGTTGGCTGTAGGTCGGGTCGAAGAGGTAAGTTTTAAGACAGGAATTAAAGACAGATAGAGGGTGGGAGCAAGATGGAAGAGTTGACGGAAGAGAGCTCAACAAGTTAGGGGTGTAAAATGTGAAAGCCTTGGCCACCGATCGTGCAACCTGATAGTACAGGAAGCGTGCAGGAAGCCTGCGGAGAGAAGGAGGCGAGCAGAGCAGAGCAGAGCAGTGGGTTGGGAGAAAATCAGAGAGGTCTGTGCTGTGGAGGTGTATGTAATTCTGTTCAAGGAAACACAATGATGCGAGGTTGCTATTGACGTCACCTTACCTGGCTATGACAAACAGCACACAGCTGACACCAAGGTACGCCAATAGGATGTACATCCAGATATCTGGAGACAGCGGGTTGAGGAACGAGAAGACTCCAGCGTTCGTCCCGTTTGACTTTCGATACAAAATGCTGATGCCAAAGGTCATGAATGGTTTAGAGAAGTCGATGACCTTCTCCCGGGCGTACGTGATGGTGAATGGAGCAACGGCGAGGTCAGCTTTCTGTTGGGAGAGAGGCATTTGTTAATGTCTCAAAGTAATTTCTAAATAATAATGATAATAATCCTTGCGTTTGATACAGCGCCTTGTTGCGTCTTCGAGGCGTCTCAAAGCGCTTCAGACTATACGGTAAAGTTTAGTGACTGTGTATTTTGTGGCACAATGCAGCAGCCACTTGCACACAGCAGCGTCCCACAAACAGTCACTCTCCCTTCTGAGTCAGAAGGTTGTGGGTTCAAGCCCCACATTGGGACTTTCAGCTGACACTCTAGTGCAGTACTGGAAGTGGGGTGGCGGAGCATGGGGGGGAGGGGGCTCGTACATCAGAGGTCCAGTCCTTTGCGTGAAACGTTCAAGTGAGGTCCCATCTGCCTGTTCAGGTGAACTTTAAACATCCCACGGCTCTATTCAAAAAGAGTAGGGAGTTTTGTCCCAGTGTCCTGGCCAACCCGGACATTCACTTCATGGCTGTCTGTGGGACATGGTTGTGACATTTAAGCGCTCCAGGACGCTACCCCCACCCAAGTGAAGAGCGCTATATAAATGCAAGTTGTTGTTGTTGTGTGCAAATTGGCTGCTGCCTCTGCCCACAAAAACCCGCAGTCACTGCACATTACAACAAAAAAATCCCGTGAAGCCTTTTAAGATGCCCTCCCGATGTGAAAGGTGCGATATGAAATAACAATCATTATTGTGAAAGGTGCGATATGAAATAACAATCCTTGCATTTGAAATATTCAGGAGAATTGCAAGGATATGATGGAATCCATGTGTTCCCATGGCAGGCGGCACACTTCCCCATCCCACATCTCCCGTTTCCTTCAAAATGATTGTGACTGATGACGGAATTGGCTTAAAGGCTGTCATGTTCAAAAGAAGGCAGCATTTCCCTGGCATCCTCTTCGATGATTAATGATCTGAGCCATGATAAATAAGTGATCTATAAACCATCTCCCTCCTCAAGGCGAGGGCTTAAACATTAGACGATTATTCTAATGATCCCCTTTTGCATGCTGCTGTTTCATATTGCACTCACTCGATTTAATTGAGGTCAATTCGAACCAGTTTGTGCTTCTTATTTGAAGACTGCATCCCACCTCCAGGATAATGAGCACTGGGACATCACAAATCCTGGTTAAAAAAAACTTGGAACTTAGCCGCGATCTCTGGATAGCTTTAAAAAGAACGAAGTGGTTTCCAAATTAATTCTGTGTTTGAGCATCCTCCCAACGTTCTGCACAATCTTTTAACTTGTACGGTAGTGGTCTTAAGGGAAAAGTGCTACCCACTGAGCTTGGCTAACACCCCGTACCGATTGGAAACTTTTCACAAAACGAGTGAGCAGCCCAAGGAGAAGAGGTGGTGAAAGACCATGAGATTTACAGTTGTCCCAGACCAGAATGTCCCAGACCAACTGAACGCAAAGTCACAATTTGATCTGCTGCATAATAATAATAATAATAATCCTTGATTTGATATAGCGCCTTATCACGTCTTTGTGATGTCTCAAAGTGCTTCGCAGAATATATTGTAAAGTGAAGACTGTATATTTTGTGGGTGAAACATACACGGAACTAAAGCCTGAGACCTGTCTACTGATTCTCTGGTCGTTGATTTGCCCAAATAAGTGCTTTAGGCAAAGTCACTGGACTTTTCAAAAACAGCTTGAAGCTGGGGTGGGAGGATGACAGGGTGAGTATTCTCGAATATCAAATCAAAGGCCTTCTTCATCCAAAAACAATCTTTGCAAGAGCTGGAATTTCGGTGAATTTGATTCCTGTTGACTAGAAAGGGACAATCAGTCAAAGAACTTTAAAGTAAAATCCTATGAGTTGCATCTGCCTAACATAAAAGTGTTATCAAATGTAAGGAATATTATTTTTATATTTTGTTTCAAAATTGTTAGAACTGCAGAAAACTGTCTTTCAAAATTAAGGCTGAATTCCAGAATGTCCCACAATTTTCTGATCTATCTTAAAATTTAAAAGGATCTGAGAAACTAGGACTGGGTGGAATTTGGGGCGTTGCATTGCAGATCAGAGAGTGTTACACGAAAAGTTGCTGCTTTCAGCTTTATTTATGGCATCGATCTTTTGCGTTCAATTTAATTCTAATTTCTCCATTTACAAACCAACGAAAGGTGATGTCGCTGAGATGGGCGTCGGGTGACGCGGAGTGCTGCTCGCGGCTGATTTATGGCCAGAGCGCACACAGGAGCTCTTAGAACAAGCCCTGCCTGTCCTCAGGCCGCTGAAAATTTAAATGCCTTTAATGAGCAACAGGCCTTTTAAGCAGGAAATGGAAGTGCCACAAGCAGAAGAGAAATTGCTGATCACAGCGAGTTCCCCATTGTGCCATCCATTCCTCTCCAGCTGGCACTCAGCTCTCGTCTAAACTCCATACTCGGTGTGAGCTCAACTCTTCCATTCCACATTCCTCTCCCGACTGATGCTTCAAGCTCCTCACAGCCCAGTGAACAAGAGACAAAACCTTTTCTTTCTACACATCGTAAATCCCCCCTCCCGCCCTTCCGAAAGTTTCAATACTTTGACTCCTGCCAACTTTCAATAGGTTTAACATTGCATTTTTCATTGACGTAGATAGTTCCCTTTCTCCGCCTGGCTCTGTTGCTGGACTGAGGTTTGTGTACATTGAAGGAAGCTGGCAAGACATATATCTAAGCATTGGATAAATCACCATGGCTACTGAGGCAGGCTGACTGGACATTCCCAAGGTTGGGTTTCAGTGTTGAGTTTCAGTCGGTCTCAGGGGAAAGAAATATTGGAGACATTGCAAGTTGAACTCAATGTCCTGTGGAGGGGGGTGGGGAAAGAATATAACCAAGACTGCAAGGCTCTCTCTTGATGTCCTGGTTCCAAATAAACCTGGTCATTCATTTCCTGACTGTTTGTGGGACTTTGCTGTGCACATAATGACTGCCTACAAAATAAACAGTCACTATACTTCAGAACGAATCCTGGGAGGCACTTTGCACTAATGGGTCACATACTTTTCAAAATCCTATTGTTGAGATCAAATGATTTGTTTGAGGAATCAAAGTTCTGCTCCAGAGGGGGGAAATGATCTGTGTTGTATTGATGGTGTTAGATGCCTGGCTCAGTTGGTTGTACTCTAGCCTCTGAGTCAGAAGTATGTGGGTTCAAGCTCCACGTCGTAATGAGTTGTAATGAGACTTAAATGGGTGGGGGGTTGGGGGGGGAGGGTGGCTCGTTGTCGGAGATGTCGTCCTTCAGACGAGACGTTAAACTTTCCAGGTGGCATTAAAGACCCCATGGCACTATTCGAAAAGAGAAGGAAATTTCTCCTGGTGTCCTGGCCAACAATTCGCCCCCAAAAAGTTATTCATTGGTTTTGTGTCTGTTTGTGAAACAATTTGTCGTATTCACCCATATAACAGTCACTGCACTTAACAGTAAATCCTGTGAAGCAATTTGAGACATCCTCCCAAAGTGAAAGGCGCTGTGATAAATGTATGGATTATTATTATTATTTTTTCACTTTCAATGATGAGGAATCCTTGAGAGAAATCCTTGCCTGTGCAGGAAAGGAGAGGGTGGCGGAGGTATATGCCAGGTATTGCAAGCTTTGGAGTGGGAACACTGTATTCTACTGTGAGCTTTGCAGATGGATAAATGGGTGGTTATCTAGTGCAAAAAAAGCTGCAAGCCTCCTGCGCAAACTGAACTGCCAATGATTAATCTCTCGGTCTCAATGCGCAGCTAAAGAGACCGTTGAGCCAGTGGAGGAATTAATCACAAAGGGCAGCTCGAGCTGAGTATTTGCCTCCGGCCTTTGTCCGGAGAAACAAAAGGGAAGCCATCAGCCCTTACAAAACGCTCAGTGAGATGTTCAGAAATGATTATGTGAAGTAAAGACGTCTGGAGAAGGAGGGGACAAAGAACTGGGAAAAGAGGGATGAGTTTAAACTTCCCTTCTCTTCCTTCTTTTCAGTGCACAGTAGATTATTTATAGAATGACAGAACCCACCTCCCCACCCTCCCCACACCTCCTTTCTCCATCCTCTGCAAAACCAGGGGAGACGAGAGGTCTTTTGCTTCCAATGGCACATTCATAATTAGCGTTGTCATGCAGGCTTCAGTTTAATCTCTTCAAGAAAGCTTGAATAGAAAGCTTCCAATCGTAAACCCCATTAAATTCTTCCCTGGCCACCAAAAGAGAGAATCCCTGGGGCTTCAGTCTAATCCCACATTCCGCCCACAAACTACACAGTCACTCCACTTTACAGTGTAAAGCATTTTGAGACGTCTACACGGTGTGATAAGCTACTATATCAACCTCAAGGATTATTATTATTACAATCCAGTCATCACCAAATTCCCACCACAGGTGCCTTGACATTTATCTCACACCTCTCCCCTTATTGCCTGCTCAATGGCCTGGATTTGCAATAGTAATCTTCGCTTTCATCCACAACTAGATATCCCTCCAACTCAGTGATTGGAGGCTCAATGAAGTTGACTGTTTTCCACGTGTGCCAAGAGGAGTATTCCGAAGTGTCAAACACACTGTTCTGGATTTCCTGGTCCTGATTTGAGAAAACGTTCAAATAAAAAGCTCGTTGTAAGCATAAAATTCCCCTTAATTATCTTTTGTTCGGACTATTTTCCTCCAACGTTCCAATTAAAGCCCAATCACTGCCATACTCAATTGCCAACAGCAGCAATTTTTTCCCCTATTATTTTACCGTTAAATATGTTTTCTGTTGTTAATGATTTGCTGAGTAAACGATTCAAACTGTTCAACCGTCAATCTGATCCGATCCGTAACACACAGTCTCATTCCAATAGGAGAGTCTTGGACAGCTATTGGAGATCCCTGAATTTGTCCTAGTCTTAGCCTGGCTGTAGGATGAAGAGGCTTTCGAGAAGAGACAGGAATTTCTTTCCCAGCCTCTTGGCCGAAAATCCGCACTATAATATTCGCCCACAAAACACGCAGTCAATTCACTTTACGGTATATTC